GGGCGTAGCGTGCGGGGGGGGGGGGTGACACCCCCCCAGTTTTAGTGAGGTAGTCGGTAAAACGCGAAGTTATTCGGTAATGGCAAGAGCCATGACAGCGGTCGGTAAAACAAATCGGTTAAAGTGGAATTTTGCTCCTCGGTAAATGGCTTTTAATAATAAAAAAATTAAATTAATGTTGTGCCTTGTTCTCCAATAAAGTTATGCAAAATGTACGTAATTCTTCAGTATTAAAACACTTATATTAAATATCTACGCATAAGCATTGGAGCCCCTAATTTCCTATCGTATTACACTTGCAAGAGCTGCGAAAACAGTCGGTTCTGATTGGACATATTCAACTGTGCGCGAACTTTTGACCTTGATACAATGATACGCAAAAGAATTAAAGATTATATTTATATATTTGTTATTGACACGCGGTGCTCATAAAATGTTTCGCCAATTTTTCAAGTCTGTTCATTACAATAAACAACAAGATAAATGCCATTGGGTAAAATGACTTATCGCGAAGTAACAAAGACAACAATTATTCCAATTAATAAAGCATTTGCTACGTTTCTGGTTCTACGTTATTTCTAGACGGCTGACTAAAGTCACGGTGAGTGTCATTAAATTAAACGCGCGCCGAAATATTTATTTGTCAATTGCTGATCATGTATAGCTGTTATGGTATATGTTATATGTAGCGTATAAGGGGCGGTCACGGATTCTAATAAAACCTCACGGTGAGCTCACACTCACAGTCTCACAGCTTGTTAATATCTGACGGATTCTCACGGATTTCGAAAATAACACAACTTCAACAATATGGTTTTGTTTGATATAAATAAAAGCTACCAAACCTTGTGTGTATAAGGTACAGAAGGCTCTGAAAATGCCATTTCCAACGATCTAGAGACTCAAAATTTTCAAAAATTTCCCGGTCGGCGCCAACCATGGTGGCGCCTCGTGGCGCGTGGGTCGGTAAAACTTAGATGTTACACCCCGCAGTTAAAAAGGTCATGCTACGCCCCTGTATATAGGGTGTATAAAAAGGGTTATCTAACTTTGACATGTTATCGTGTGATCGCATGTATATATAAATCAGGAAAAAAGATGTGTAGTGGAAATGGGCCCGAAAATTATAGTGCACCTAACCTCAATTCTTTTTATCATTTCATTCTAAAAAACTTCTGAAATGATGTAACAACTTATTTTAAAGATTTCCGTTTCGTCACTTTGTTTCTGAGATATGTCAGTTTGTTTGGTATGCAAATATCCGGAAATTACGTCACAAATGCATAATGATTCAAAGTAAAAGCTTGTATATCGTATTCACTATCGATTCATTAAAATGAAGTTTATATATATATATATATATATATATATATATATATATATATATATATATATATATATATATATATATACACAGGGGCGCAGAGAGGTTGGCGGGGGCCCGGGGCAAATATTTTTTGCGGGGCAATCGCAATGGCGCAAGCAAACTATTTAGAGTAGTATCGCCTGAAGATCGCTTTGAAAGCGTGAAACACTGTGTAGCGATTAATAAAATTTTAAGATTATAATTAGTATATATATATATATATATATATATATATATATATATATATATATATATATATATATATATATATATATATATATATATATATATATATATATATATATATCAAGACTTGGCAATAGATTGGATATAATAAAGTCACCTACTTTTGTAAGAGAGGATCAATGACAAGTGCTCGTTCAAAACCAAAGGCAGCAAACACAACCAAAATCTAGCACAACAAAAAAACACGATTTAGGTATCTAACGAATCAAAGCTAGAATATAATAATATTGTTGATGTTCTTGGGCATAAACATGTTTTATGGCCGACCCATTTTAGTCCAAGCGTAGCGAGGGCCAAGAACATCAAAAACATCAACTGTATTATAGTATATTTTCTTGTTTCGTGGAAAATGCCAGTTTCTTCTTTTGGCAAAGTCTTCGATCCATATAGGTCAAATCTTCACCGATGGAAAAAAAAGTTTGATAAAAATACCACGGATTAGAAAAGTTAGGTTTGGACGGATTTTGAGCATATCGTCTGAAGACAATTAAGCATACATTTGGGGTAAAGTACCTGAGCAGAGATTATGATTGAGACTAGAAGTTGCACTTCCAAAAATATTCCAGATTTCTCTGCATCGCCAACTAAGATCCACATGCAGTAGAATATGCACTAAACAAGGAGAGGAAAGAAACCTATTTCATGTCAAGATTTGATTATCAATACATCTTAGGCCATCTATTGTATCTTTGGCACAATTTCAGTTCCTATCGAAGTTCGGATTATGAAATAAAACTCATACATATATATCTGACCAATATTTCGCGGATCTAAAAAATATATATCTATAAAAAAATACGTTGCGCAGTCATGCTCAACACCAAGAAATACCGAACGGATCCAATATTTTAGTATATCGATATAAAAACTGGTGTGTAATTTTACACACCAAATTGTGTATAAATACACACCTTTTCGAAAAAAGGTGTGTATAATTACACATCTTTTGCAATATGGAAGCCAAGGTGTGTAATTATACATACCTTGTATACACAATTACACACCTTAGGTGTGTACGATTACACACCATTGGGTGTGTAAAATTACACACCTTTGTATTACACACCTTGTAATTATTAAAGGTGTGATATTTACACACCTTTTACCCAAAAACACACCTTTGCTGATTACACACCTTTCCACCCGACACACCTTTCCCACTTTTTTACACCTTTTGGATATACACACCTTTCTCAATTTTACACACCTTTTGAATATACACACCTTTCTAGATGCTACACACCTTTTGAATATACACACCTTTCCCAATTTTACACACCGTTTGAATATACACAACGTTATGTTTACAACATGAGCGGCCGTGTTGTATCAGATATACAAACTCGAGCCGAAGGCTCGAGTTTGTATATCTGATACAACACGGACGAGAATGTTGTAAACAACTTAAAAAAAGACTCATCTTATGAGTTCATTGGCGAAGTAATTTTAAAAATAAACGTTGTCTAAGCCGAGAAAATCAAAGTTAAAGTCTATGTAAATCAACATGAATCTGTATCACATATACAGATACGACACGCTTATGATTTTTCTTTGTGTTTTCTTCATGAATTATTAATG